CGGCGGCGGCGGCAGCGGCTGTGGTAGCAGCGGAAAAACGCCGCTCCGGCGATTTCGTCGAAGAGATCCGTCTGTCGTCGTGTCGGATCTTTTCTTCCGCGTCGAGACGCGATACGAAAGACGTGCGTCCGAGAACGCCGTGGCGCCAGAGTTCCAATTAGAGTGCGTCTTCGCGACGCACGTATACATACAGGGCCGCATTTAAGTGAAACAGCGCCTAAGGCTTATGTATATAGTACGTGTTTCTTAACGCTCCCGTCGATTGACGGATTAAGGGCAACGGTATACGTACTTAACGTATTACGAATGCGGGTTAGTTATAAAATAAGCGATAAATAATTTTATCGTACTAAGAGATACAGAGATAATGCGAGATAACAGTATGCTCTTATCAATACTAAAAAAAAGTACTCCCTGGAAATCATGCGCTTTCCTCTTTTCTTCACGAATATATGAAGTATTATTTAGCAATTATAGAATTTTCTTCGCGTATTTCGTGAAATTCGACTTGGCATGCGCCTTCTTACGTGCAAACTGACCTTATATATAAATCCAGCGCTGCTTGTATATCGTTAAGCTTTTCTCACGATGGCGGGAACGCGGCTTCGCTCATCGTGAAGGAGACGCGGTACCCGATGATGAGAATCTAACGGGCGCTGCCGCCGCCGCCGCAGCTCCTCTAATCGCGACGGGCATTAAGACGAGCATTAGAAGGCACTTCGCGCGTCTCTTTGAGCTCTTCTTTGAACTCACTGAATGGCGAGGCGCGTGGATGATCGTAAATAAAGGCGTTTCGAGCGTTTTCATTCGAGCGGAACGTTCAGGCATCGTTTCCCGAACACAGCGGTTCGCTGGTATTAATGGAGAAATACTGATGCTGTGACAAAAAATGAAGCACGACGACCATTTTTTACTTGATGACTTTTCAGTGTCATCCATAAATATTGTTGGAATTTAGATAACTTAAGAGAGAGACTCTTGCACAGATGTATTTAAGATATAACAAAATACTTTGCTCTTTCAAATACTCTCTCTCTCTATCTAATGTTATTTTTCTAGTTTTTTTTTTAATAAATAATATTTCTATTCTTTTAATTAAAATAGGTGTTTGTTTCATTAATCTTTTTCATTTATTCATAGATTTGTTAGAAGATTTAGATAAGAACGAAAATACTGTAATGTTTGAATTATTTTATCGTGCATATTCGCGACGACTATAAGCGGCATCGCTAACAGTAGGCAGATGCACGAGTTTAGCCGTTTTTCCATTTTCCGACACGATGATGAATATCGCGTATTTTTGCTATTCGTGATACCGCGAACAAATGCAAGCTCGTCCGCGAAGAGACGCGAGTTGGATACGCAACATCCAGCGACGTCTTCTTTCGTTCCCCTAATAACTCGCTCCGCTCGCGTCGATCCATCAAACCGGTATCCGAGCGTCAGATACATTGTACGTGCTACACGTATAACGAACGAGAATCGAAGCGGATATACGTCGTTTCGCCAAACTCGCCTCTTTTGGCATAGGATCTCGCATGTGAAAATCCAGCAAAGATTTCTCTTCTCGTCGTAATCTCTCCTTCTCTCTCTCTTTCTCTCGAAGTTTTTTCCATTATTTCTTGCAGTCCGTAATTTATACAGTCGCGATTCGTACAAACACAGAACATAAAAAGTGCATTTACAAAAAAATTTCAAAGAATCTATCTTACTATTATGAAAGTGAAATTTAATCCAATTTAATCAATCGCGAAGATATACTGGTGTGTTTCACGATTCGTGAAAGAGTTGCTCGATCGGTTTTTTTTTGACACCACGTTTTCCCATGAATAATCCTAATCTAGTGGGACGGATAGGCACGCCAAGCGATCAAGGAAGCATTAATCTAAATAACACTGCGATGGAAGTCTGTACGTGTCGAACGAACCGGTCCTGTACTGTAACGGTGAAACCTTTCCAGGGATCAATCATCATTATTTCGTTGCGTTCGAACACCTACGCGTTCGCTGGCAGTCTACTTTATTGCGACTGTGTTGCGATTGCACGACGTAAAAAAATCTACCGGCATAATAATAATAATAATGATAATAACAATAATACAATGCATTATCCTCCGGGCTCGAGTCCTATTTGAGCAACGGCAAAACATATAATACGATACCGCGAATGCAGTGCCGCGGTCATTAATTATGAATTATGAATGGTGCGGAGTTACTTATAGAGAATTAACACTTTCGCTTCCAGCGTGTACGAGCGATTGTTGTGAACGCTGGACAAAAGTGAAAGCGTTAAATTTCCACGGAAAAGCAATTTACAATTTGAATCTCCTTTTGATATGTTAAATAATTGAATTATCACATCGTAGGGGAAGAAACAAGAACAAAACAAGTTTTATTTGCATAAAACTTGGGGAGAATTCTCTTTATACGAAACTTTGCTAATTAATTTTCACGAACTTCGATGATCGCTTGGCATATTCCTGATAATTGATAAATTTATTCTACGAGATTTAGAAGATTTTGTTTCATTCGACTGCAAAGCAAAATTGTTAATTATTCAGTGATATTTCTTAACCGATCGTTCACTTTATCGTACTTAAAACAACACCGTTGATATAAAATGAAACGATAGTTGTAAACGCAGTTTGTCAACGATGTTTGTAGGTGTATAACAGGCACGAGAGAAGGATAAACGAGGGAGGGAGGCTCATTCGACACGCCGATAAGATCGGTGGCGATCGGTGACGATTGGTCCAAGGCCATCTGGAAACTCCGGAGAAACGCGGTTCTCGCTTTTTGCGCGAGCCAAGAAATTGCAAAAGTCCCATTGTTCGCCGGCCGAAAAATTTCTGACAACATCGTGAAACAATATAAACGTGATTCGAAACCTATTCAGGAATAAAAAAAAAAATAAATAAAAAAGAGAGAAGAGAACGGTGATTATGAACGATGATAGATCGCGCGGACAATCGACGCGACGTGGAATTATGAAGACGCTGCGCGATTTGTGACGTCGTCATTGAAGCAATTTCTGCCGCGCTAGATGGCTGTTTATCTCGAAATTGCTATAATTCTTGGTGCGCGACGCGGTATTGGGAAAAAACGATGCTCCATTCGTCGCCGTTCGCGCTAATGCCTCAATCAAGATCCGGAAAAATCACGACGAACGATGCAGTAGCACCCGCTGCGTTCATATTATTTGTATTCCTTATACTTCTAGTACATTAATAACGTGCTGCTCATGATATACGGAGTATCTCGGAACTATTGCGACTTCTCGGAGTTATAGATTAAGAAGCATATGCTGTGCTGTAATTACTCTTGAACTTTTATTGTTTATGTAACGCGACTTTAAATTTAGTTCCGGAAAACAATTGATCTTTAATTTCTAACAGCTATTCCTTTTTCAAAATAAGTTTGCAGGTATTCATTATAGTTTGCAGATATAATGTCTAGCTCGATCGGGGAAATAACGACAGCTAATGCAAAACGATGTAGATCCGATCGCATGGGAGATGCAAAATTTTGATTTACCCCCGTGTGCGCGCGGAACTCATACCCCTCGGTCGCTCGCTCGCTTTGTTAGGGAAGCCGACACGCGTGACAGGAATGCACGTGGCGCGTTAACGTCGGAATTTCATGTCGAATCGTTCGCATCAGCAGCGACGACAACGCGCGTTATATATCCCCTTTCTTCGAAACAGCCAGTAAAGCACGAACCCGCGATCGTTCAAAACTCCGTGCCGTGAGCGCCCTTCTGTCCGAAATCCCTGAAATCTCCATGGCTCAGCATTCCGGCCGTTTAACAGCGTGGGGGAGCGACCCGAATTTTTATCTAGCCGATTTGCATGTTTTAATATGCATTCCCCGTTTATCGGCAATATAAATACCAGATTCGCTTAAGCGGGCATTTCCGGGCGACGACAATTAAGTCCGAAAGTGCGCCCGGGCCCGCCAATTTGCATTTCGTGCTATACACGGCGTACGGATTAATTGGGGGAACTTGATGGAATTACGGCGTAACGAAGAGCGGACGGATTATCTCTTCGGCGGTCTCTTTCGTCGAATATATAAATCAAGCGATATTGACTAATCGTTGTCGACACAAATATCTCGCGGACGCTGACAAGATAATTTATAGGACGAGAGGTACAATTTGCGCATTGTTCTTCACGCTGTATACCTATGAATAGCTTTCAAATAAGAGCAATCAATTCTGCGACTGTTTTTCAGATCCCTTCTTTCATATATATCACGGTTTCTTTTGTTTCTTTTTTTCGATATACGGGGAATAGCGTTATATTCTCGATATATTCAGATATCGCGATTTATCCTACTTCATAATAAATTGATCAGGCTGTCGATTATAATATGCGTATGCAATAGTTATTGACGCTAGAAACCTTAATAAATCCACTAATGGATGTTCCCCGCTCGATGTCAACGGTTACAGATTACACGCTAATGGCGGCCTAACGATACTCGCATGCGGATTTAATAAAGCGGCCTGATCGACAAACGGCTGCGGGCTGCGTCCCGAATTTCGTGGCGAAACTGGCGCGGACCGATTGAAAAATGTCGAGGGGGAACGAACGAGAGACAGAGAGAACGGGAGGCGCGCACCCTGTCGCATTAGCCGTTGACTCCGCGCGTCATTAATCAGTGTCGGAAGACGCCTGTCACCGACGCCGTCAACCCTCCTGGACCGACAGTCTCAAAACTCTCTTTCTATCTTTGTTCTTATCTCTCGTCTTTCTCTGTCTCAGCCGCCTGGTCATGATTCTCGTCCGCAAGTATTTCGTCCTCGTGGCTTTCACGTCCGAAATAGGGGTAGATAATGTCAAGGGATTCTCTCTCTCTCTTTTTCTTTTTTTGCGATAACGGAATTTTTAACTTCTCGCAAGGTGACCTTGTAACTTTCTCATTATACATGAATAATATTTGAGAAAGAGAGAGAACGAATAAAATAAGTAAGAATATATAGAAAGATTTTTTACTCACGTTCTTTTATGTTCATGATCTCTTTTATGGAGGAATTGCAGGATTATCTGTAATTAAAAAAATTAAATAATTCTGAGATGTTTCTATTCATAAAAAAATTTGATATTTATGTTTTATATACAAATTAATTTAAAAAAATATAAACTTTATAAAGAGTATTGAGATAAGTAATCATTTCTGAGACATTTTATATAATTGGGAGTATCCGATTAATAAACGAATAAGCTTCGGTCTAATTACAAGCACTTGCGATTATCGCGTTCGCGCTTCCTCCAGGAAAATGCACTCTTGGGATCGTGGTAGGCGCTCGAACCTTGCAAGGACATCGTAGCGGAGTTTTCCCTAATTAAATATGCCTCGAGGGTCCGATTCGAGAAACCCTACATGAACCGGGACCGTTTACGAGGGTGGTTATAGATGTAAACCGTCCGAGCGCGCGATCGAGCGATCGTAAATTTTCGGAAACGCGATATCGCCGTAGTCGAGAAAAGATCGTTTGTCCCCTGGAGAGTTCATCAATTTTGCATCGGTCGGGTTCTTATGCCTTTACTCCATTTTCGCGAGCACCGGCAATCGCACTTTTCTAACCGATAAATTTTCTTTAATCAAGTCTGTTCACGCATTGATAAAAAATCAGATATGAATTGTATTAGTGAGACATAAGAGAAATAATTAAATATCTTTCATATATCTGTATATAGTTTCTCATATTCAATACAATTTACAGTATTTTATTAGCACACCTGGAACACGTATCGAGAAAAATAGTGCCAAAAGCGAACTCAACGAGATCTCGGGATCGTACGTTCTTCAATTTACTAGGAAGGAAAGGATGACGTTCTCGATAGGGGATACGAAGTGGGTCTGAAAAATTGCGATCGATAGACACCGAACAGAGGATCATCTACAATACACATCCACGTAAACAACTGTCGAAAATGGGCTGAACGCATTTTTCGGTATCATACTCTTCAATTTGCCGGGGAAGAAAAGAACGACGGTCTCGATGGGATCTGAAGCTGAGCGGCAACCTGCCCGGGCAAGAGAGGGACTTTCCTTTGACTCGCCGCAATTTCTTAACGTACCGTGGAAAGATAACATCGGGGAGGGTGGACGGGTCGGAGAGAGAAAATAATATGACGAAAGGGCAACGGGGAAGGGTGGGAGATGGACGTTCGGAGCGTGCCGAGGGAGTAACTAATTAAAATTAGTCTTCGCTTCGTTGCTAGCTTTCGCTGTTTTTTGCCGGCAATCCCGGCCAGCTCCGCCTGTATAACGCGGGGCAATATCTCGTCTCGCGCGAGTTTAAGAATCTGCGGGAAAAATTTTTGTTTTTCTTACCCCCGTGAGAGAACGCGGCCCCACCGGCTGCCGGAAACTTCTCGGTAAGCTCTTCGCTACTCCTTTACACTCTAAATTCGCATTTTTCGAGATTAAAAGGGGATGCGGAATTGAATTTACAAAACAGAACATGTAACTTTATTCAAAAATGTCTAATATTCGCGATTTTAAACAGTAGATATGAGCTCTAATTTTATACAACAAAAAAAATGAAACTTTTATTAAGAAAAGAATCCGTTTTTGAACTATTCAAAACATTCATAAAAGAAATACGCAATTTCATTCTGTATATAAAAATTTTATACGATGCAAAGAAGGAGAGAGAGTATAATTATATCCATCAAACACAGTTATATATTTTCTGGCGGTACTCTTTTTTATTTACCGTAGTGACGCAACAGGACCGCGTTTATTATTAAACCGTGATACTCGTGCACGACCGCTAAAATTCCTGCCTGCTTGCACGGAGATGAAACGATCGATGGAATTCGCAGGAAAGCTCGTGACGTGAAGCGAGCTGAATCCGCAATTCGCGCGACACCGGCTCTTAACGGGAGCGACGTTCCTTTTTCTTCCTCCCTATCGCACGCCATCGCTTCCTGTCTCACGCGGTCGTGAAAACGGTATCGTAAATTATGGGTGCGTTTTACTCCTCGCCACGTCGGGCCAGGAATCTTTTGAATGGGCCACGCAGACGCGCGCCCGCGATTTCTTTAAAGGCGCGTCCTCCGCGCGCGTGAGTTTATCTCCTCTCGGTGAGATATAACGTCAGTTATGTACACGCATTCTTTCTCTCGGGCGGCCACTAAATATAAAGGCGAATCCAATTTCTCAAGTAATGCGCGATTTCCACCGGAGAATTCCACCCGGGTACCCGGGGCTAATTACGATCGGCCGACGACGTCGCCGACAACGTCGACGCCGACGCCCTTCTCGGGTCAACGGATATTTATGCCGCCATTAACGGGCGACTTTTGAAAAATCTCGGTCGAGCAAACGCACGGCTTTAGAGTGCCGCGTTCTTTGTTACGCTTAAGTGTGGAATTTGGAGGAAGCGTCCGCCGCGAAACACGTAGCAGTTTGCGTGTAAATGAAAAGAATTCAAGCTCACGATTTTTTTCATTTTCATCGCTAGATTCTTTTTTAGTTTTCTCTATGCATGTACACGAAATATCACTTAAATTTGTAAAATGCTACAAAAAATTGTTGAATATCATAAATATATATAACAGCTGATTTCCCCGGATGTTTTCACAGAATGCCAATCATCCCGACGTTTCCAAATCCTCCAACAGACATATCAATAAACGAGCAATTATATGAAAGAAAAAGAGAAAGAAATATCTCGGTAATCCCATTAAAATCGGTCTGATATAGCGTGTGATCCATAGCGAGAAATTTTAGCCCTGAATTTAAAACAGCACGGCTGCCACGTGGTTATTATGTCCATCTATTTTTTTCTTTTTTTCATTCTCATTCTCTTCCAGCACGTCGCCCGTAAATTACAGACGACAAATCCGGGCGATTTTACCGAAGCGAATGACTTGCACAGGGGACGGATGAGGGTCGGTAAGTAGTAATTCATTCGGAAAAGCGCCGTCTTCGGTAAAAATTAAAGGGACCGTCGAGCGGTTTACCGCAGGGCGGTTCGAAGAAGAGGAGGCCACCTGCGTACAGAGTTATCACCTTGCCGGGGCAAGAACTTACTCGCGACATTTCCCTCTCCCCCCTCCCCTTCCCCCAACGACTACATTCTGCGGCTGTAACCGCGCGCGGATTACCCAAATTAAACGGGCCCCCCTTTAATCCATTGCCGCGTGTCGCCGGGAAACGACGACGTAGCATTGTTCGTTAAAAGAAAATCCACCGGATCTATCTCGGTGCAGATGGCCGTGGTCTTTGCATCAATTGTTCGCATTAATTTTCCGAGAAGAAAAATTCACGACGATCTGTCCCGCTCGTCCTTGCGATTGGCTCGAGCGAGATTTACTTTGCTAATCAATTGTACAAAAATCAAAATAATAGTTTAATATTACACTGCAAAAGAAATACTGTGTGTCATCAAATGAATATACATATATCTGATATAGAAATAAATTTTAGTATTAACTTTTTTTGCTCGAAAAATATAAAGAATTATTTCTCTTTTTCTCTCTTCTAACATCTTTTTCGCGAATAGAATATAAATAAACTATATGTTTTAATAAATAATTGCCGGAAAAAAATATTGACTTACATTAGTTTAATCTAGTGAAATTTAATAAGCGCTTATGTCTTTGCGCGTGCACATTATACCGCAAATATAAACCAGGCCACGGGGGGGCATGATAATGATAAATTTTCGGACCGCGACGTTTTAAACTGCGAGCACTGAAAATGCAAAAAAGGGCTTTAAGGCCGTGGCCGCTATCGCGCTATTAAAAAAGTTCTGTCGTTCGCCCGCTCGTAAAATGCACGCAGCCTAATCCCGAGTAATTTAAAGGTCCCGGACAAAAATTGGGGATGGGCAGGGAGGAAGGGGAGCAACGATGATATGCCTCGGAGGCCGTGGCTAGGGGAAACGCTGGCGCTAATTCAACGCCATTATGCGAAAGGGTTGCTCTCGAAAGTAAAGCTCTCGCGGCGAATATTAGCGCTGGCATTAATAGAGACTTCTTCTTAGAAATTAATAGCCGCGGCCTTTCTGTCCTGATTATTCGCGATACGTTGGAATAAGAAAAGAAGATATCGATATCATATGTCAAATAATACAATATCAATCCTGCATTATTTTTTTTTTAAGAGCTCTTCATTAAGCTATATAAAAAAATCTTAAATATGTGAAACATATATATAACATTATAATGATCCCTTTTCTCTAATTTTTAAATGAATAGTAAAAACGAGTTTAGAGGCATACGTGGCAACTTTGATACGCAAAGTATATAATATATCTTTACAATAAATCTTTGTATACTATTTTGAAATTGCCTATGTGAAACTTCTTCTACATTGACTCTTACCGAGTCCCTATACGGCTATACCAAGAGTGGCCTTTGATGCATTCTCCCCTTTGAATATCTCTCCTTTACTATCCCACGCAAAAGGTGAATTTTAAAGCGTGCGCACCTTCGACGTAATATGGGCAACCTTTGAGCATACGCAAACAAGAGTTCTATCGTATGATGCAGCAGTTTCGTCATTTTTAACTCGGCGTCTTCACGAGAGAGAAATTTCGCTCGGCGGCATTAGCGGCGCGTACGGTCGCCGGTTATTTTCTCTCTTGGCGCGTTCTTGTTTTTAAGGGAAGTAACCGAGCTCCATGCGCGCGGGATCCACGAGCCTCCCGAACGTACATCTTCCCGGTAAGCTACTTCTCTTTACGCGCGTACATCAGGCGGTAGACGGCCTGATGAAGGACGAAAAATGAAACGAGTGCAGCTTTATGGAGTGTTGTTCCACACGCCTCTCCACTCTTTTTTAATCAACCGAGAGACTCGTCGGCGAGGACGGCCTCGTAATCGAGGATAAATAAGGATTCACGCGCCGGAGCTTCGTCGCTCTTTACAACTTCTTCTTTTAGTAAACTTCGCCGTTTGCTCAAAATATTTCGCTGCGCTACATTACAGTTTCACGAGCTGACAGTGGTACGCAATACAAGTTGATGTATAGTAATCCACCGGTTTATGGGCGATGTATTTTTTTTTTTTTAAGAAATTGCTGTCTT